TTAAAGAAATTACACGAAAACAATAACTTTTAAATAGTTAATTTGATACTAATATTAATATATTTATTTTTTAAAATTTTATGATATTTTCAAATTTATATTTTATTCAAAAATAAAAATATTATTCATTTCTTAAACCACATAAAAATCGTATTAAAACATTTACAGAGACGGAATAAAGTATAACATTAAAGTCGAGATATATCTCGTTGTATTAGTTTAAAAAAAAAAGAGTAAACTTGGTCCATGTAGTTTTTCAAAAATAACATTTCTTGTCCTTGTAGTTTTAAAGGTGATAACTCTCATTTTTAGAGTTATTTATTACTTTTTCCTATGCTTTTATATCATTTTATTTACCCAATTTGCTTATATATCTTTCATTTTGTCTAAGGAGCCGTTCACCCAAATGATTACTCGGTAAATGCTTAGCAGTAGTAATCAACATTATAATTTATTTTTATCGGATAAGATTGTAATACATCAAAACGGTATCTTATGCAACAATTTACCCGGTAAGCACTTATCCGGGTAAGAGTTGTCACCCTCACTTACTGTTTAAGACTCTCCATCATAATCAACGCTCTTACCATGTAAGATTCTTGGCCCTCGCCATGTTAATCCGGTGAGGAAAATTGTCCGGTAAACACTTACCGAATAAGCGTTTAGTAAACGACCCCTAAGTTGCTCTTAAGAGGTGATGAATTATCAATTATTGATTTTTGTGCTAAAAATGATGTTATTATTGATAGGGGGCATTATTTTCCCACTATGGACATTTATGGTGCTACTTTTGGACAATAAAATGCTTTGCTATTATCTGTTTTATGGGAACAATATTTTGAAGATTTGAATTTATCTGAAGATCTCTAGAAAATGGGATATATAATGATCACCTTTTGTACTGAATGATTAAAAGAATATTACATCCATTGGACAAATACCACAACCTTTTCATATAAACGAGGCATGGCACACGTATTAAAGATCATCTCATTTCCAACCAAGAGCTACAATCTGAGTGCCATTCTCAAGCATTTATTCTTGTGCTTGGAGATTTTTTTAATGTAGAATTTAATTTCTATATTCTAATTTTTTGTCCGCAATTTGCCCTCTGTGACCTAGCTATTACTTTTATTTTAATGCAAATATTTTTCATTTATTTATTTATCATGTCTTTTATTTCTAGTATTAGCTAATCACCTAATTGGGTGTGGGTGTGAATCAAACTTAAGGTTAATAGCCAACAGGTGTTGTCATCGTTGCTAATTCTTAACCTTGGTTACTTGAGTCGGGATTTAAATTAATGCGAATAATCGATCATTTTGAAGTGTTAATATTAGATTTTATAACTAGAGATTGACGAATTCGAAATACGACTTAAGTGATGTACAAAGATTTGAGAGAGTCTTTGATAATCACGTAGATATACGAGTTTTTTATGATTTACTAAGGTTCAAAGTTTAGTCGAGTTTTACATCACAAAGGGATTTGGGTATAAATCTTTATACTAATCGAACTTGATTTTCATATATCAAACTTAGTTAAATCGCCAAGATTACAAATCAACAGATTGTGGACACTTTGTAGGCACAGTCTATAAAGATTCACTTTCGAGAGATGGAGGTATTTATATACAATAATGTGATTCACAAAGTATCTGACCATTTTGTTACTATGTATGCCTTAAGGAAAACTTACGACCATAGTCATCTTTTAATCATAAGTATATTTGGTCTTTCATGAATTTCAACCCACAAAAACTTGATTTTTCTTACAACTCAAACGTGTTCAAGAAGTTCATGGAACTCTAAGATTCTCAATAGTCTATTTCTATGAAACGATCTTGGTACTATACCACTTTATTACTTGTAGTGATCATGGTATCGACGTGCATTTGCACCGGCGCTTTGGGGACTTCCTGTCCACTGTTGAACACATACGATCATAACTATCAAGTTTTTGGCACAGCTGTCGAAGACTGGCTTGATTTTTACCCTGAAATATTGACTTTCATTTGGGGCTTGGTCGCTTGTTTCATTTTCCAAAGCACCTTTCATGTTGTATCATGTATGTCACGGCTACAACACAGTGAACTTTTACCTCTCGATCTTAAAATTGAACAGACATTAAATAGAAGAAGAAGAGGTGGAAATAATCGGCAAAACCATAATTTAAATAGAACCATGGAGGATAATCCACCAGCTCCTCCTCCGGAAACCACGATTAAAATTGCCGATGATAAAGATAGAGGAAAATAGAACTATGCAACACCCTAATTCAGTAATTTGGATTTGGGGATCTGCAAGCCCAACATGATTGCAACACATGTTGAACCAAAGCAGATAATGATTCAAACGATCTAATCAATGGGTCAGTTTAGGGGATTACCATATGAAGATATGCAGTCTCATTTAAATGCACAAATTATGGGCTTAACTAAATTAGTTAAAAACAATTCGAATTTAAATGGGAAAAAAAAATCAAATGCAAACCATAATGTCTAATTCTCCCATGAATAAATCTTGTATTTTTTGTGGTAAGTGTCATTCTTATGAAAGTTGTCTTGGTAACCCAGTCTTGATGATTCTCTCCCACATATAATCCATATTGGCGAAACCAATTTGGGTTATATGATAAATTACATGTCATGGTTTGAATATACAAAATAATAATTAAAAGAAAAATAAATAAATATTAGAGACGGCTAAATCAAGTAATGAATAGGTTTTAGGATGTATATAGTCCTAATAAAAGGCTTAACTGGTCTCAATTCCCCTCCCCCACATAGAGAAAAGAAATAGCAAATGATTCTAAACATGCTGCACAAGTGCAGGAGTCAAAACTGTGAAATTATTTAAACATGCAAATTCCAGCAACAAAACCAAACAAACTTCAAGTTCTTAATCGGAAAACCAAAATCTCTTCAAGCCATGGTCTGTATGAATGACAAAACATGACCAAACAAAATTCCATCTAAATCTTTATCATGCTTTTGTTCGTCCATAGAACTTGGACTTCTCATCAGCAGTCTGGAAACGACCATGCCCAAACTTGGAGGATGTGTCGATGAACTTCAGCTTGATCTCTTCCAATGCAAGCCTCGATGTCTGGTTCAACAACGACTGTCTCAACGTCACCACACGCTTCTTSGGTCCCACACAGCACCCCTTTATCATCAGAAAGTCATCCTTCACCACCCCATAGTGTGGGAACCCTCCCATTGGGGTTATATCYTTCTCMGTCCTACAAATATCCACCCACCATTACASCTGCTGCCTAATTTATAAACTAAAACAAAACATCWTCGAACRAAACAAACCTGTCGTATTCAGTGATTGCAGAATGGGACTCCTGGCCAGCCTTCCCGAGCTTGTAAATCTTCTTATTCATTTCAGTCCGGTGATGRTAACCATTCTGTCCAGCTCTTGCAACRGTGAAWGAAACCCTAGCAGGATGCCAKGCTCCGATACAAGCRACCTTCCGCAGCCCACGATGGGTCTTGCGAGGTAGACGGGTCACGCCCCAACGGGTCACCACACCTTCATAACCCTTACCCTTGGTCACACCAATGATGTCAATCATTTCATCTTTCCCAAAAACAGCATCAATGGGGATCTGCTTCTCAAAAAAGTTGTAGCCAAAATCAACTTTTTGTGCCACATTGCCACCGTTCACTTGAATCTCCATCAGATGGGCCTTCTTCTGCTTAAGACCTTTCATCTTTCGGATCTGGTTAAAACACATTCCATAATGTAAATAAGAGTGTGCACAATGGATGTTCTTCAACAGGTTCTTACACTCGCTACTGGTTCTTGCCTAGTCACAGCTGCTTGTAAAAAACAGGTGCTTTAAAAAAGAACCCTTTTACTGTCTATCTTTTTTACCAGTTTATTGTATTTTCTTTTAATATATATATAACATATATATTGATGTCTTTCATCTTTTTGTTTCCAGAACACAAATTCAATGAAATTTGATCAAGTAAATAATAGTACCTGTGTGTGGGCAAGCACACGGATGACATTGCAGTATTTCTTCATCTTCTCCAACTGGGACTGAATGTCCTTCTTCCCTGGCTCGGTTTCATACTTCAATGAGTATTTGGCAAAAGCTTTCTTCTTTGATTTGCACCAGTTCTTGTAAAATCTCCTCTTGATATCCTCACTCAGATGCTGAGCCCAAACAGTATTGAGACTGCGGAGGCCCCGTGGGGTCTTGACATAACCCACCAATCCTACCACCACCATCGGGGGTGTCTCAATAATCGTCACTGCTTCACATGTCTCTTTCTTGTGAAGTTCTATGGAGAAAAACCAAAATAGAATTATGACTTGGCAAATACAATGGTGGACATTAGATTACTCCCAGTCTCTACCGAAAATAAAAAGGTAAAATTAGGGGAAAGAAAATACTAAACATACAAACCAAGACACTGTACAAGACTAATGAACTAACATGCGCCTACTATCCAGATATTTAAGGCTCTTCTATAAAATTATTATAAGAAATGAAGAGCAAAATTGTTCTCCCAAATAGTTAAGATGAAAAAAGTAAACAAATAGAAAGAACTCACTTGATCCAGGCTTCTCAACTTCTCTGACAATGTGGGTCATCCCAGCTTTGTATCCCAAGAAGGCAGTTAGTCTGCAAGGTTTGGCAGAATCATCCTTGGGGAATGCCTTCACTGCAAAAACCAAAACAAATACACCATAAGCACAGCATACTATGCAACAGTAACCATTTTATCTTAACTAGAAAGCAAATAAGTTCAGATAGAGGGTTAAACAACAAATTATTACCAACAACGTAAAACAATGAAAGTGAAAAGAACTGCCTCAAAAACTTTTGAGGGAGTGTTCTATCCAAAAAGTTTGATCAAGAATACCAAAAAAAAAATAAAAACAAAAAATTATGCAGTCCAACATATACGTGCATAACTACAATACAACAAAGCATTTGACCTAAAACATGCCAGAACAAAGAACACATGTAACAGATTCATAACATAAACCATAGCAAAATAACTGTACATGTTTACAGATGGTTTCATAATTTGGTTCATACTTTAGAACAGGAGGTGTTGGCACTAAGATATGGCATCTCTATGCAATAACATCTATAAGCACGAAGTTGAATAGTCAATCATGCTATTACTGGAGGGCCAAAAACAACAATCACCAACCAATTGTACCATCTTCCAAAGTTTGTCGGATATGAAGCAGGAAACTTGAAGGCATATGAATGGATACTTCCAGGAAACAGTCTGAAAGAAATCCTCGTTTTATTTGATTGGATGCAAAGTAACAAAGAAAACAAAACCACAACAGGAATGGCATCCAACAATAATAGATACAAGTTACAAATACAGAGTTGAAACAGCCAAATAAATACAAAGCAAGAATGTTCAAACAGTTGACAACCTATAGCTAAAAGTAGACAATCAGAACACAAGAAACAAATACAAGCAATTGGCATTAACTGGAAGAACTGGCACATAAATAAGAAATGGCATACAAATGATACATGCATCAAGGACAACTCATTCCATAGATTTAAAGAAAAAGACAGGCAAAATAAAACTAAAACCTTTTCCTCTGTGACGAGCAGCCCTTTTCCGAGGGAGAAAGCCCAATGAGCCATGTCTGGGATGCTCAAATTTGCGATGAGACATGCTACCTAGCTTGTTATATATCTGCAAAACTCATAAGTTCATTCCCAAGTATTCACAGAAGAAAACATAGCAATTTAAAAAACTAAAATTTACATGGCTATAGGTATATGTGCATATATAATTAGATATAGGCACATCTTGAAAAATATTAATTTCACCATCTACGACATCTCTTTAGCACATAATCCGTGCTAACAAAATTAAATCACAACAAAATTGAGAAAAACTAAAAGTTGGCTTTTATTTGGACATCAATTATCGCATGCATAAATATTACTAAAAATGAAGGAAGTAAAAGAGATTATCATAAAAACACTGGCAAGAGTCAAATTTTAAATACTGAAGAGTCGCACAAACTTGAAGTTTGGTTTTTATGCTTTATATTTTAATAAACTTGTAATGAATTAAAGCAAAAGAATATTTATTTGATAATTTAGATTATCAGAGAAAATAGAGACACAATTGACTGGCTGCATATGGAATTAACCCCATTATGTGATGATGAAAAGAAAAGCTCCAATACCAAAGGCCTATGACAAAGATTTATGCCAATTCTCAAGCTCATTAGTGTTTCTTACCAATTACCCAAATTGGGAATTGGCAAACGAGCGCTGTTGAGATTCCAGCCTTGATTACTTGTATGTTGGAGTACATTTCATTCACCATACACATTGGGGAAAAACCAAAATGCAAAAGTTTAAACAAAAATTAAAAATCCAAATTTGAAGAGAACATATAAATCGATGATATTTGCAAACAAAAATTATGACAAATCCAAATTTGAAGAAACATACAAACAAAGAAAAAGCTTATCATAAAAGGAACATTAGAATCTTATTGAACTCATCTTAAAATCACTAAATTACGAATGCTAGAGAACATGGGGGGAAAAGACACCATCGCATCGTCAAATCTCATTTTTATAATAAAATAAAAAAAGATCAAATCAAAAGAAAGTTACAGGATGTTTTTGTTTCGTGAAAAAATTATAGCTACATGAATTAACTAAGCGTTCTTAGTATAGATAGAATCTTGCGGTTAAATCTAGATCATCGACTATCAATCTTGAAGCTAAAACTACTAATTTGAATATGCGAAACTTATAACAGACAGGATCGTGAATCAAAATGAAAGCAATCGCCTCCAAAAACACAATCATTGCACGAGACCAAATTTCTAGTCAGTATACATATAAGATTATGAATACAAAAATCAACAGCAGAAATCCATACCTCGAAAGTCGAAACCTGAAGTGAAGTGAGCGCGAGAAGGGATCTGAGACGGATATCAAGGGATTTATCGGCTTCTAGGGTTAGGGTTTACAAATGGGCCAAATTAATGGGCCATTGAAACCTGGATGAATTCAATCCAACAAACAACTGAAGGGTTGGTTTTTAATTGGACAAAGATGTTTGAAATACAACCTATTTTTTATTATTGAAATATATTTTTAAAATAAATAGAATGATATTCGTACAATGCAGCGAGATATATCTCGATTGTAATATTTCATTTTATTCAGTCCCATATCGATGTTATAATACGTTTTAAGTGGTTTTGAGAAAAACGATAATGAATTTATTTTTGAATAAAATATAAATTTGAAGATATCTTTAAATTTTTTAAAAAACAAATCAATATTAGTATCAAATTAATTATTTAATTTTTTTTCTTTTGTTGTGTAATTTCTTTAATTTAACTTTTTTATTATAATTTAATTTAGGTTTAATAAGAAA